AAACCGAAAAAAAAATAAAACATATATTGTTATAGGAAAAGACGTACGTATACATAATTTTTTGGCATTTCGGAAATGTTCAAAAGAAAAGTAAGTAAATGAAGTAAAATATTTTTTATTTTTTTTTATTTTATACAGAAGTGAAAGTATAATAATCACCATTCATATATACTTAATTATCTTAGTACATAAATGCAAAAAAGACGAACTAGTAATATAACTAGTAATAATGAAACGAAACATAATAATACTTGACGTATTTTGGATCTGTTGTTATCGTATTTTGAAAACTGTCGACGAAAACATTGTAACATGATCTTCTGACACGTGAGCAATCTTGAAACATTTTTGGATTACTATTGACGACCAGTGTTCACAGTTTTAGCTTCCTTACAGCATGCTGAAGCGGTGGAAGGGATGCGCACAACAGTAGCGAGTTTATGCAGTTAGAATTCGCTGCTGTTGTGCGCATCCCTTCCACCACTTCAGCATGCTGTAAGGAAGCCAAAACTGTGAACACTGGTGCGCAGACATATTATGTTGATGTATGACGACGGTTCTCGCTTGTGTGCGTATCCCCACCACGTCGGTGTTTTCATAGCACGGAATAGAACCATGTCCACAAATATAGCACGGAATAGAACCATGTCCACGAAAAGCGATTACACATTCTCTTACGGCCGTGACCGCTCTCTCATTCTTCTCTCTAGTATTACGATATGCCTATTGCACTCTGATGCAGTATGGCGACACCAATCAAAAGTCGGGACGTTTGTTTTTTTTATTAAAGAGTCATTACGTTAACTGACCAATCATGCCGTTTGTTTAATGCAAGCTGCGTTATGATTGGTCAGCCACACGTATGTTTGTATGTTTCATCTATGACAATTTGATGCTGACGGACGTAAAGTGGGTGTCAGTGTTTTCAGCGTCATTGTGTCAGAATGATAATAAACGCAAAGTGATAAGTCACTTCCTAGATAATGCGTGAATATAACATTGTTGTTTGTAATGAAATTTCAATTATCTTGTTTTGTTTCTTTGTGTAAATGACAGACGTGCACTTAAGATAAACGTGTCCAGGTATGCTTAACATACACATAGTGATTATATTAACGTTATAAAACATAAAAAATTATCAGCATATATACACATACACATACAGAAAGCTGTCAACTTTCAAATATATTCATTCTTGTACAATAGTGATTAATTACAAATTACATCACACTTCTTTTGTTCTCTAGGCAAGATGTTCACGCATATCTTATTTGTGATCTTATCATTATTGTTTACTGGAGCTGTATGTGATGATGTGATACATTATCAGCCAGAAGCTGTGCATATTTCTTATGGTGGTAAGCTTTATTATTTTACGCATATATTTATATTCATCGTATGTATTTTAAATATATAACTTCTATATTTGATTGAATAATAATACAGAGATATAAAATTATGTAGAAAAGTAATTGGTTTGTATTGATATGTTTTTTATATATACTTAAATTTTTAGATAACATTCATGATATTGTTGTAACTTGGAGCACAAGAGATGACACGAAAGAATCAATAGTAGAATATGGCATTGGTGGGCTTATTTTGAGATCTACAGGGAATTCTACTCTTTTTGTTGATGGTGGTCATCAAAAACAGAAACAATATATTCACAGAGTATGGCTGAAGAACTTAACTCCTAACAGCTTGTATTGTAAGATATATATATTATCTCTCTCTATATATATATTTTCTCATTAGATTTATGCTATTAATAAAGTTTTTATTTTTTTTTTGTTAGTATATCATTGCGGCAGTCGTTATGGTTGGTCAAATGTGTTTTATATGAAAACTGCACCTGAAGAAGACTCGGAATGGTCTCCACAGATAGTTATTTTTGGTGATATGGGCAATGAAAATGCTCAGAGCTTATCACGACTACAAGAAGAAACAGAACGTGGCTTATATGATGCTGCCATTCATGTTGGTGATTTTGCATATGATATGCATTCGGACAATGCACGTGTAGGAGATGAATTTATGCGACAGATTGAATCTATTGCCGCTTATATACCATATATGACAGTGCCTGGAAATCATGAAGAGAAATATAATTTTAGCAATTACAGGTGTGTTAAAAAAAAAATATATATATATATATAAAATGATAAAATTTGACTCACACTTTTATATATAATCTTTAACAGGGCTAGATTTTCCATGCCAGGTAATTCTGAAGGCTTGTGGTATAGTTTTAATGTAGGGCCTGTACATTTCATAGGCATAGAAACTGAAGTTTATTATTTTATGAATTATGGTATAAAACAACTGATTAAACAATACGAATGGTTAGAGAAGGATTTACAGGAAGCAAATAAACCTGAAGCAAGGTAAGTTGATATGAATTGGTTATAATAACTTTATATGTAAGCATTTATCTATAAGATTCTTTTTTAAATGGTTTTCTTGCATCATTTTTTGTGTTACATAACAATCCTATAAAAATTAATAGAAATTTACAATTTATAAAAAAATTCTAATACAGAGCTGAACGTCCATGGATAGTGACATTTGGACATAGACCAATGTATTGCAGTAATGCAAATTCGGACGACTGTAAAAATTACGAAAGTCTAGTCAGAGTCGGATTGCCAATTTTAAATTGGTTTGGATTAGAGGACTTGTTTTTTAAATACAAAGTAGATTTAGAAATTTGGGCACACGAACATAGCTATGAAAGGCTGTGGCCTATATATAACTTTCACGTAATTGTCTTCTTTTTTTTTTTTGGCTACATTTTTTGACAAAAAACTTTTCTAAATATTAATGAAAATGATAATCGTAGGTGTATAATGGTAGTTACGAAAAACCGTATACAAATTATCAGGCACCTGTACATATAATTACTGGATCAGCTGGTTGCAAGGAAGGCCGAGAGAAATTTATTCCGGACCCGCCAGCGTGGTCTGCGTATCGTAGCTCGGATTACGGTTACACAAGAATGAAGGTGTTTAATAAAACTCATCTATATCTAGAACAGGTATGGCATGTGATAAGAATAAATCTCAAAAATATATAATTGGTTTACATTTTAAACAATTAACACATGTTCATATTTTGTATATTAGGTATCAGATGATAAAGAAGGCGCTGTTTTAGATCAAGTTTGGCTCGTGAAAGAGGAACCTTTGCCGCATTACATAGAAATATTTTATCCTAATGATTTAGACTAATGTAACACAAATTTAATCCTTCGTGGTCAGACGTGGGTCTCCCAGACTCACTCAAAAGTTTTAAGTGGATATAGTCTTTAGGAGAGATGTTAGTTCAGCGCGATACACATCTGAAGAACGTGAAAAAAAACTTTAGGGCCTAGACAACGGTAGAAGTTGTTGACAGCACCATTCGTTCAATAGCTTTGTAAATATTTAATTGTCAAGTGTGAGAAGGATCTGAGAAGCCCAAGTCTAAGACACGTTAGTTTTTCGAAAAATAAGTAAATTGTTTTTAGTTTGAGCACTTGTAATATATCAATTGATGTTTTTTTTTTTTTTTTTCATAATTTTGTCAAAAAATTTATGTACATTTACAGCAATTTATTAGATTACGGCGCGCAGAATGTATGCGATTTGCGGCTATGGGAGCTGCCACCTGTGGAATATTTGCAAAAAATGGTCTTTTCTTTAAACGCTTATAGGTATCTTCAAAACTATTAGTTTTCCAATTTTTGTTTTTCTTTTTTTATCAACACAGAATTGTTCAAACTGTTGATTAAAACTAAAAAAAACAAACAAAGTGAAAAAATATTTATTTTTCGTAGAGACATTTGATCTTAAAGTCGCGTGGACCTCACGTATTCGGTCTGACCAACTCGTAGGTCATTTTTGATCACAAAGGGTTAAATTTTACTTTAGTACCATGCAAAACACGAGAGACGTAGAATAACAAACGTATCGAAAAAAGATAAATTAGAAATTTATCAATCGATATTAAATAAATGTTTTCTTTCACTTTTTCTTCGGCTGTGTATATTATATATGTATATGTGTATAATTCGGACTTTTCGTACACATTTTGTTTTTGCTGGATATAATTCCGGGCACAATGTATACGTGACAACAATAAAAATATTTAATTTTTCTGCATGAGCAAGTAAAAAATTAGTAAATGCAAAAAAACATACAATATACTTCTTTAATTGTTAAAATATAAATATATATGTATATTATATATATATATAATTATATATAGTAATAATATATAATATTAATAATAGTATATTAGTATTATATGTATAAGATTTTTCGTATTTCTATCTTTAATTCTCATAATTACTCTTCAATGATACATAAAGATATATATAACCGAATTGCCTTATGCTTTTATTAGGAAAAGATTGTTTTCAATTTCAATTTACGTTAAAACTTGTTATAATTAGACATGTGTGAGTTTCATGTTTTTATTATAGTTCAAATTGTTTTGGAGATTGTGGCTAATATATTTTCAACCTATAAATTTTAGCCATTTTATAAAGATATTATTTTTCAAATTTGGAAGTTTTAAAAAAAAAGTGACGCAAGTCTTTGAAAAATGCAAAAGTAAGTTTTTATCCGAAGTGATGTGAATCGTAAAATCATCTCTATCTTCTAGTAAAATGATGTGAATCATTAGGTAAAAATAGAGTAGTTACACTGGTTATGTAATTATTTTATATTTTCCATATTTTTTTGTATTTGAATATAACTACATTTATTCGCTCTAGAGAATAATCCTTCACTAGGCACTTTAATCACAATCATGCACAAATCATTTTGTGCCAATACTATTGAAGTCTAGTAACGATTTCGATTTAACGTTTTGTGATGAAGTAATATGACGAATAAAACCTCATATTTTGCCACTTTCATTAAAGAACTGTGTTGTTATACATACATAGGTTTTCTATACGCTACAGTTAACTATAGGAATAGAATGTGTGTTATTCATCATAATTTTAAAGTTCAATGATGAATTATTTAATTGCAGCAATGTAAGTAAATGATTTAAATTTCTAGACAATTTTCTAAATATTCACAGCGCACGCATCTACCAATGAGAGTTAATAAACTTGATTAGGCAGAAAATATTTAAGCCACAAGATTTTCTTAAAACAGCTCCCTATTTTATCCCAAGCAACTCCAAAAATAGTCAAACATATACATTTATTTTAAACAAGCACTTTGCGAGCTTTTCGACACAGCTCACTCAATTTTCAATACTCGCACATCTCCAATTATATCACCAGTCATAAGAATGACATCTTTGTTTAAGACTAAAAAAGAGTTACCTCAAATTTATACAATAATTCAATTAAAGCTGACATTTTTCTACATTTCTACCTTCACAGTGGTAAATCATTTTTCTTTTTCGTTGGCTTCTTGTGCCGATTGTAATTTTCTACTTTGGCATCTGCCGTAACAGTCATTTACTGAATTAAAAAAAAAAAAAAAAAAGATCAGGAACTGCTGCTCTTCCATAAATAAGATCGTAAACAAGACGATAAACTCGGGAAGTGTCAAGTGCAGCTTTTGTTAAACGTAAGATTTATACTTACACAATTACAGCCTGTTCCTTGACGACAAGAAAATTGTTCAATATTCACATAATACATGTCTCAAGGAATTTTTTTTATCGTTAAACTCGATTCAATTAAAAACGTAATTTAATCCCTGTCATTTCCTTCGAGTCTATATAGCAAGTATTTAGTTATTACTATCTTGAGAGAGAGACCTCTAATCTTATTATAGTATACATTTCGCCATATACAATTTTAATGAATAGTTATGTGTATAGGTGTTATATGCGCGCGCACACTTATACGCATAAATCTACTTTGCCGTTGGAGATATGTGACAATCTCAGGATGCGTAAAAAAGCATCGTAAAGAAAGGTAATTTGATTGATCTGCCTATTGGGAAAGTTTCAAGCTTAGCAGATAATCATTAAGATATACATTGTAAACGAATGCTTTTGCTCGTAAAGTTTTCATCATGCATCGAACCACACATCTCATTATATTAATTAAGCAGAACACTTGACACTGTCAGTGATTAATAGAAACGATGGAAGAAGTTGCCGCAGAATGACTTTCTTGGTACGAAAATTGCGGAAAATGTTCTTGTTCTTCTGCTATAGAATTCAAACCCCCGCCACTACCTAAGCAACCCTGATCTGGAGGCGTGAGCTCAACACTTTCGCCGGTAAATTCACTATCAAAATATCGAGTGTCAATATCTGAAGTCACTTGCGGTTTAAAAGGTGGGGAAATCTTTTTTTGGACAAGATCCGTCCAATTGATACACGAGAAGAATGCGTGATTCATGATGTCTTTCGCGTCGTTAGGCCCACCGCCTAATCTTTTACTAGGATCTTTTATTAATAAACCTAAAATTATAATAACATACAAATAAATTCTTTTTTTTTTTGTGATGCATGATAGTCATAAGAGAGAGTTATTGAAATAATATACTGACCACCAAGCATATCTCTCGCTTCATTGCTAATTGACCTAGGAAATCTTACTTCTTCCAATAAAATGAGCGTAAATAGTTTTTCGTGATCCTTGTTATAAAACGGTAATCGGCCACACATCATTTCGTACATGACTACACCAACACCCCACCAATCCACTGCACGCCCATAATCGTTATCTTCCAATACTTCAGGCGCCAAATATTCCGGTGTTCCGCAAAACGTTTTGGTTGTTCTTCCTACATCAGAAAGAGAGAAATTACAGTATAAAAATTGATATAAATTTTTATTTAAATCAATTACACTTATATAAAAACTCACACACTTATCTAGTCTTATTATCTATAATGCAAGGATTATATATACAAACCATATGTAATGTCTTCTTTGCACAAGCCAAAATCAGCAATTTTTATATGCCCATCCTTGTCCAAGAGAAGATTTTCCAATTTGAGATCGCGGTATATAATTCCTTGGGAATGTAAATAACCCAAGGCCGATATAATTTCAGCACCGTAAAACCGTGTACGATCTTCGCCAAATACACGCGATCGGCTTAAGTGAAAAAATAATTCGCCACCGTTTACATATTCCATGACAAAACAGAGTCTATCTGCTGTTTGAAAACTGTATTTCAAAGACTGAAAATGCATGCAAATATATTAATTACAAAGCAATAAAACAAAAAGCAATAATAATATTGATATATAACAATGTGCAATAAACACATTTATACATTCAAACTATTATTACTTTGTATAAAGGTAACATACAATTAAAAAGGGATGATTTGTAGTACGTAATACTCTATTTTCAGTTAGTGTATGAGCCACTTCATCTTTACGAATAATAACTTCTTTTCTTAAAATTTTAATAGCGTACAAATGTCCTGTCGCCTTTTCTCTGCACAAAATTACTTTTCCAAACGTTCCTTTTCCCAAAACTTTTAAAAATTCAAAATTCTCGAGTGTCTACAACAAACACAAAAATATTTATGAACAAACAAAAACACTCGAAGATATTTTGAAAATAAACATTAACTGTTAGTTAACTTTTATTAAGAGCCAATTTTATCATCTCCGATTAATTTATTGACTGATTATTTTATCGAAATTGACTAATCGCATTGATACAAGCCAAATCGACCAATTACGGTCGACGCTTTATAATCGGCTGATTATCGAAGATGGTGCCACTGGCGCTTAGAATGATAAGATAAAATCAAATCTGTTTTATTAAAAAAGCTATTATTTATTATTATTATTATTCTATTAAAAAGTTATTATCTTAATTATTATAATATAATAAATGGTTATAATATAAGTATGTAAAAACATTACCAAGTAACTTACTACTTTCTTTTTCCCAGTGCTTTTACTACTTGAAGTCCCTTGGACACTGAACTTTACTGATAATTCATCGATACTACCACTGTCTACATCTGGAGATACAACACCTAAAGAACTACAGGAATCAGATCTAGCACCTCCTGTAGATTCCATATCAATATCCTCTGAAGAGGAAGATTGTTGCATTTGAGGTTGTTCTTGTTGCTGATTTTCTTCATTTGCTAACCTATCTGCTACATATCTGCAAAGAAACATGAAAGAAAAAAATGTTACATGAGAGTTAAATATTGATATAAGATGCAAAATTTAGTAGTTGAAGTCAAACCTGATTGCTGTAACCCAGTCTTCTCTTTCCTGCTCTGATTCTACATGAAACGTTCTTTCAATTACAGTTGTCCACTGCAAGCCTCTAATGACAAATGTATAGGGTTTAGGTCTGTCTACTGACATTATTTGGCACCCACGTACTGTGAAATTATTTAATGGCTGAATTTGTTCATCAGGCTTAGCTTTGTATCCAACTAATGTACCATCATCTCTCAAGATAAAATATCTTGATCTCCAATTTTTTATATGTTCTCCTACAAATATGTAAAAAGTTTAGTGATTATGTTTTGATTCTCTTTATATGAATAATATTTGATATAAATTCTATATATATATATATATATATATAATTGTATACATATATGAATATGTACACATATATAAATACATGCATATAAACATAGAAAAAATGTAACAAATATCATTTATTTATATTTCCTTCATTTTTACACACATTTTATCTCCTCTTCACCATACTAAACAATTACTAATTTCATATAAAAAACTTAAAAAAGCAATAACCATATACAGCGAATGAAAAATGAAAACATTAGTTTCTAGGAGGGCAAATGTAATATATATATATATTTGTGACATTTGTGCTTCTAATATTATGATCGGCAGAGTACTGTGAAGCGCATATTGCGACGCGAAATAGCATGAAAACACGCAAAATTAGCAAACTTTGGAGGATGTTATGCAAATGTAATGCGAGAACTCGAGTGCGGCCGATTCCCCGTCGGCTCTTTCAACAGACCGAGTAATCGGAGCGACAAACGATCAGCCCGATCAGCGGGAAGATGCACGCGCTCGGACGCGTTTTGATATTTATTTTTTTTCAACATTGTGTGCGTCGACGTCGAGGAGCAGCTCGACGGAGCACGCGGTCGTGACACTTGCACGGCGCGTGACATACGCTCGCGCGAAACAACATCGACGGAGCACGCGACAGTTCCGAAGACGCTGCTCCAGATAAACATCGCGCAAAATGTAAATATTATGAGCCGCGTTACGTGAGGTAGTTTATTAATTAGTTACCTCGTTTCTGGAGCCAGCCTTCTTTGACAATACGATCACCGCTGTTACCGCTACAGCCACCGGACGCTACGACGTTCATCGCTGCGTCCCCCATCACACGTTCGTCGGTGTACAATCGTCGATGTCCCACTGACGCTCCGTGTTCCGCTCTGCGCTGGGAATATTAGAAAAATCGCCAACAACACGCAGTAGCGGGAGTGGTGCGCGTATACAAACTTGAGTAATCATACGCGTGTGGCAAGTAATGCATATGTATACAGTGATACAAGTGATCCGTCGACGATAGTTTCGATGTGATCGCGCTGAATCAACGACGTATTATGGTCCTTGCACACGGGAAAACAGTATGTATACTTTATGGCTTTTCTGGCAAGACAGAAAAACGCGCGTCAACAACGCGTTGACAAGAAACAACGCGAAATCAGCCAATCAGCAATCTAGTCTTGCGGAAAAGCGGCATATTGATTGGCTTAGCGGGTCCTTCGGTTCGCGTGTAAAGCGTTGACGCGTTTTGTCTTCGCGGGCGTCATCAATTGCTCCGGGAGCGGATTTAATCCGTACCGTTCCAGATGGCGTCACAGACTACGATGGACTTTTTTGCACGAGAGTTTTCATACCTCGAAAGATTCTTCTTTTGATGACAGTTAGACAGCAAAATAAGTCTGGGATACTCAGGATGGCGGTCACCATGGATTCTGTGAGAGAAAAAGCTCTTCAAGATTATCGAAAAAAACTTTTGGAGCACAAGGAAGTCGAGTCGCGTCTCAAAGAAAGTACGATGCTTTTTTTGACGAGTTTTAAAGTTTGCTTACAATTTTGTTTACCAAGAATGAAAAAAAAAAGACATAACCTTGAAATCTTCTTCTTTTATCTTCATTTCCTCATTCAGTTTTATATTCTGAACTATTTTGCTTGCTATACATAATTATGTAACATACATAAGTATGTTAAACTGTTAAATTGTTTTACAATTTAAGTATAATTATGATCAGCGAAACACATGGATTTTTTTTCTTTGCAGTGAGAGAACATCTCAAAGATCTGACAAAGCAGTACGACAAGTCTGAAAATGATCTAAAGGCATTACAAAGCGTTGGACAGGTATATCTATTTCTAATGTTAAAAATCATAATTTATAATCATGTTCACATTACTCATGTTATTTTATAGATTGTTGGAGAAGTATTGAAACAGCTTACCGAAGAGAAGTGTAAGTACAAAATAAAATATAAACATTTTTTTAATATATAAATTACAGGTTAGATATATTTAGAGAGATATATAATAGAAATTTATTTTTTTATAGTTATAGTAAAGGCAACAAATGGTCCACGTTATGTTGTTGGATGTCGTCGTCAGTTGGACAAAAACAAACTGAAGTCCGGAACTAGAGTTGCTTTAGATATGACCACTCTTACAATCATGCGCTATTTACCACGTGAGGTAAAGCAATGTGCTAATTCTATTACAAAAACTGTTATTTAACTGCTTTTTTTTATTTTAGATAATGTTTTCCGCACCGTCTGTGCCTTACATTTATTCTCAATGTTTTTTTTAGGTCGATCCCCTAGTTTACAATATGTCCCATGAAGATCCCGGTGATGTGAAGTATTCTGCGATCGGTGGTTTGAACGAACAGATACGCGAACTGCGTGAAGTTATAGAACTGCCGCTATTAAATCCAGAACTTTTTCAAAGAGTTGGCATCACTCCTCCCAAGGGATGCTTGTTATATGGTCCTCCAGGTACTGGAAAAACGTTGCTGGCAAGAGCCGTTGCCAGCCAGTTGGATGCAAATTTCTTAAAGGTCGTTTCGAGTGCAATTGTTGATAAATATATTGGAGAGTCGGCCAGATTAATCAGAGAGATGTTTAATTATGCTCGGGATCACCAACCCTGTATCATATTCATGGACGAAATTGATGCCATTGGTGAGTACACATTTGTGTATTTATAAAAAGAAAAAACTTCAAAAGTTGAGATAGAAGTGAAGATTGTATAAATGTTGTTTTTTTTTTTTTTTTTTTTTTACAGGTGGCCGCAGATTTTCTGAAGGTACAAGTGCTGATCGAGAAATTCAGAGAACTCTGATGGAGTTGCTAAATCAAATGGATGGATTTGATTCCTTAGGTCAGGTTAAAATGATAATGGCTACAAACAGACCTGATACTTTGGATCCTGCGTTATTACGACCGGGAAGACTTGATAGAAAAATTGAAATACCGTTACCTAATGAGCAAGCTCGTTTAGACATTTTGAAGATTCACGCCTTGCCAATTGCTAAACACGGTGAAATTGGTGAGTAACTTATTCTTCTTTTTATATTATTATACATTTTAGTGTATTATTTTCAATAATCAAACATACTTATTATTTATGAAATATTCAGATTATGAAGCGGTAGTTAAACTCTCAGATGGATTTAATGGTGCTGATTTGAGAAATGTATGCACAGAGGCTGGCCTGTTCGCAATACGATTAGAACGAGAATATGTAATACAAGAGGATTTTATGAAAGCTGTGAGAAAGGTTTCTGACAATAAGAAACTCGAATCTAAACTAGATTATAAACCTGTGTAATGTGATAAGTTTGTTTAACTATTTTATACACTCGAAAATTGACACACCAAAATGTCTATCAATCTCTGTATGAGTCCAGATTGGATCACGCAATATTAATTTGCTATATTATTTCTATTTCTTAATGAAATCACATATTTTACATTTCTGTAAAAGTCTATCCAGTCGCATTTACATTAGCAAACTTGTATGATACGGTCAAAAGAAAATACTAAACTCAAAGATCATTGATGTAAAATATACACTTTTATTTTTGATTTCAATCATTGTAGATGTTTATTTGTTTTTTGTTTTTTTTTTTTGTTTAAAAATAACAAACATGATCATATTTGTATTATTTGTAATGACTTGTGAGTATTATAATTTATTCTGTACTGCTTGCAAGACGAAGTTTCTTCCTTTCTAAATAGTCCTGCACATTGTCGTATGTTCTCTTGTATAAAACTGGAAATGTATTTTGATTGACAGCAGTGTTTTTCAGCATTTTCCACAACTTATTAAGACGGTCTAGTGTGCAACTTAGATTATTATGAACTACAAATTTATTATTTTGAAACTTGTACACTTGTAGCCCTATGTCAGTTAATACCCACAAATCTTGTTTGTGCAGAAGACATTCTACGGGCTCAGCTTCTATGGTTACAGACTCCAAGTAATTTGCTATTAATTGCGTTTCATTGTTATTATTAACAATTTTATAAACCAACAACATGTTACTACTGTAGAAACTCAGGATAATCAAAGATTCTTTTTCACTGAGGTGAGACGCTCGCAAATGTTTAACGGGCAGTATATCCACGGACTCGTCATAATGATTGTTACGAAGATTCTGATTGAATTTCTCGACGTCGCATTTTGATATTTTATCACAAAAATTCACAGACATCAGTTCAGTACCGTGTTTGTAGTCCCACAATTTGAAAACTCCATCACCACCGCACGATACTAAAATGTTCTTGTCGTGAGGCAACTCGGTGATGTTCGTCACGAACTTCGCATGTCCCAAACAATAAGACACAATGTTGTAACAATTCGGAAACATGGAAACCCTAATCTTCTCGTCTCTGTCGGTAGTCAATATATATTTCATGTCTTGCGTAACGAGAACATCGAGAAGCATTGACAAGTGTCCCAGAATAGGATTTCCGCTTCCCGTCGGTGAATCGATAGAAAATAGGTAAACATCTCCGGTTTTGTCAGCGATCACAATATCGTTGATCGGTGAGAATCGCACTCTGCTCGCAGATCTGGCAAGCGTTCGATTTGACAGGAGTTTCGAGTCCTTTGTTTCGTACAAACACAATTGCTTGCGATTGGTACACACCGCGAAGTATTTCCCGTCCTTCGAAAACGTCACGGACGTTACCGCGTGATAAGTCTCGATGTCCACGTTATTGTGAATGTCTGTCTTTTTGCTCGACTCCAGGTCGGGCAAATCCATTACGGTTTCGATGTCACTGTCGACGTTGTATATCATCACACGCTCGTTGTTGCACAAAACCACATGTGACTCATGTACGGAAAAACTCATAGTTGATATCAGAGAGAAAGTTTGGTTGGTTTGGTGCAAAAATGGCTCAGTGGACCGAATTAAATACCAGAGAAAAGCCTGAGAGCGACCAGGTCCCTAAGAGAATGACCATGTTCANCAGACTGAGCAGATCAGTGAGCGCTTAGTGATTTTTCAATATGATTGGTTTCTACACTTAGATCCAGAAAAGATCTAAAGGAAAGATTCAATCATATTAAATAATCACTAAGCGTTCACTGATCTGCTCAGTCTGCTGAACGTGGCTAATGTGTAAAATCGCTTTTCCGCCCCGTAAACTAGCGCATGTCCACGGGTGGTGCATATTGGAACTACGCAGCCATGTTCACGAACAACCTGTAAGCGATAGTAGAACGATGTGCGATATATCGATAATCAATATGTATCGACATGTATAAAATATCCCCTCAGATCTACAATACTCGTAAGTCACAATGATTTGTTTTTTAATAAATAAAGACATTCGATCCTTCTTTTTTGTAGCAACTTGAGTGTCTTGACGATTTAATTATTGCAAAACTACTTACGAGCTCATACATTCACTCTTTACACGAATGAAAATATTCACTCTACATTATACACAGAGAGAGTCAAAATAATAATTCGCAACACACAGAACAATATTACTCCACGACACGGGATAAAATATTTAGGTAATTATATACAAAGTGGACTTCTTCACCGATTTCAATGAGCTTGAAATATATTGTTAAGAACGTTATTCTGAACAACTTTTCTGTATACATGTTCCCAGCAAACACAAAGTAACAGTAACGTAACATTAATGTTATAATTTCCCACTCAACGATGTAACTGCAATGTAACATGCCTTGTACGTAGCAGTTACATTGTTGAGTGGGAAATTATAACATTAATGTTACGTAACTGTTACTTTGTGTTTGCTGGGTTCCCGTCGCTCGGCTTTAGTTTTCGAATTATACACAAAAGAAGTTTCATAAATGAATTCTTGTTTTCCAACACCGTGTCAATTTTTGAAGTAAATATGTTGTTTGTATGACACGTGTCAAGCTTTGTTCCTTCTCCTACACTTCTCCTCCGAAAAAATCGAACTTATCGTACGATGCATAATGTACATTACTATATCGTAGTAATATGTTAGAGATTGAGTTTAGGTACATTTCTGGAGAGGAGTGCAGGGAGAGACGCGCAGCCTCTCTCCCTGTGGGGAGAGGGGGGGCGAAGCTCTCCTTCCTACATGTTTAACATTATATTGCCAAATTCTTGTTTAAAAGATTATATACTGTAATGGTTTGTCTTAGGTATTGAATAAATTTAGTACTAAAATTAAGATAACGGTTCGATGAGTTAATCAAAAAAGAAAAAAGAATACATAGAGCTTATGGTCCAGGGTGGAGGTGGATATTCAATATAACGTAATAAACAATAATGTGTTTCGGGACGTTTCGATCATTTATTGTTGATCATCTTCAGCACTGTTGGATACAAAAATATAAAATTGGAATAAAAAATTACAAAATAGAAATAAAATTAAAATTAAAATAAAAATAATAAACGTGAGAAGAAATGTCCGTTACATACAAAGGTGAATACAATTTTAAATAACAATGTACGCACCTAAATTGACAAGTCATCACAACGATCGCACAGTGCAAGCCGACAAGAACCGGAATTATAACAGCAGATGACATAAACGTACCAAGTAAGGCGTCTATGTATCAAAGGTCTGCCTAATAAGTCAAAATTAAAATAAATAAATAATATGTGAAAATACGTTAGTCAGTAAGTGATTTGAAGATAAGAAAACTCTAGAACAGACAGTAAGAAAATTCGCTTTATACAAATGAGAAGTCACTCTAGCTTGAGTCATTCGAACGTCACGCACTTTTCGGAATGCATTTTTATTCTAAGAAATTTAAAAGAATTATGTAAAATGGATTATACAAAATTCTCCAAAGTAATATGATATAATAACATGTCAAAGTTCGAACTAATTAAAATAATACTAAAAACAACACTATATGTATGTACAGACGGCGTCATTAATTCGAAGAATAGGCGCGGGGATCACATAAAAAGTCCAGTTGATCTAAATATCCATTAGTCCCAAAATCGGGTGTCCACAACTGGAAAATATCCATTAGTCCCAAAGGGACTAATGGATATTTAGATCAACTGGACTTTTTATGTGATCCCCGCGCCTATTCTTCGAATTAATGACGCCGTCTGTACGTATGATTTGAATAAACATTCTTTTTTATTTGCAACAAATAATCATAGTTTAGTTTATTTTGACGCGATCCATATATTTATGTCCTAGTACTATACAAAGCTTGTCTTGATTACGCAGTATAATATTGCGCAACCAGTTCCGAATAATTTATTGTTATGAGAATTATGCTGTTTTATAAGCAAATCTAGCCAGCTATACTATTGCGAATCGTATATGAATAAAACTGTTTGTGACTTTCTAATACGCGCAAAGCTTCAAACTATTGCTACTTTAAATAATCAAAAAAAAAAAAAAACTTATCTGAGTAATTGCAAAATAAAATTATTTTCTGCTAGTTTGCAATAAAAATTTTACAATATTTATCATATACACCATTGTTGTTGTTGTTTTATTAATAATTTTATATGTATTTTATTATTGAAGATATTAGCTATGAGTCTTTTTGATATTTTGTTCTAAAGAATTACAAAATCTTTTTATAAAATTGTTTATTGACATCAAGAACGGTTGAAAAATGCATATAATACATTACATCTTATATCACAATTATATGTATTAGTATATATCTTTGTCTATTTATAAAAACAAGTGTGCTTCTCTCTAAATCGCATTAATATTAATGGAAAGTTCTTTAAATTTTACATCGACTAAAGCAACATGTCATATTTAAATATTTTTTTGTTTTTCTTCAATTTTATACATTATATAAAATATATATATATATATATATATATAGAGTATCCGACAATGTATGTAATATGCAGGTACAATACAAACATTTTATTATATTTTTAATATTTCTATCTTTTATAAGACAGAAGAGAGAGAGAGAGAGAGAGAGAGAGAGTAACTCACACAATATAATAACTCAAATATTACATTATTTATATAAAGATAAGTGTATGTAGCTTCAAGAATTTTTAATAAACAAATGTATTTTGGCTATTGAAGCAAAACACTGTTGTTGATGTGTGAAAATTTAAATCAGTTTATTGAAACTTAGTAGCATTAACGTCAGTTGCGTTTTCCTTCTTGTAAAGTGTTGGTCGGGTCGGCTTGTGCGACATGGACATTCTCGATCAGCACTTTGCGACGTTTATTACCAAAGTAATTTAAATGCATTTAAGAAGGACCTAATACAAGGTCGAAAGCGTTAATGCTACTAAGTTTCAATAAACTGATTTAAATTTTCACACATCAACAACAGTGTTTTGCTTCAATAGCCAGAATACATTTGTTTATTATTTATATACATATCGATATGACATTGTTTATGTTAGATTATTTGGTACGTAATTTTATTGTATAAATATGTAACATAAAATAATTTCTATTAAATGTGATTAAACTTTTGAAGAGTAGGATGTATCGAGATTGTTTTAACTAAGTGTAATAAGTTGTGTTATGGAAAAAACCAACTTATAACATGACTATAAATATTTGTAAAATAATTATAATAAAAAAAGATCATTCTCACTCTTGAGATAAAAAAAAGTCGATGTATTGCATTTAAGTAATATAAAATTGTCATAAAAATAAAAATCTTTCTTAAATCTTTCGAATACTGTTTTGTACGATTTCTACTTGCATACATTGTCCGAAGATGCTATTTTGAAAAACTGAAATCAGTGCGGGTATGACGATCAGCATGATGTTGCTTGTCCTCGCTAAGAATCAATATCGCTACGAGACAATGTGGCGATACCAAGCAAATTGGATTAAGTTTTTTTTTCTTGAGACACCTCATTTCTGTGAGATTCAGAAGAAAACTTGCGTTGATTCCTCTATATAACAAAATACAAAACGTCGATAAATGTGTTTAATTAAGTGTTACAATTAATTTTGAAGATTTAAAAAAACGCTTTTATTTAAAAAAAAAAATACTTTTTCATTCAAAATATTCTCCGTCATTTCTTATAACCTTTTGCCATCTTTCTATTAATGAGTAGATTCCATCACGCCAAAACTCCTTTTGTTTTGAAGCAATCCATTCCTTGATCCAGGAATGGATGTGTTGGAGATTATTCAACTTTGCAGTTTGAAGATCTCGCCACATCGTTGAAAATAAGTAATAATCAGATGGATCAATATCAGAAGAATATCGTGAATGAGGTAAGAGTTCCCATTTATATATCGATATTGTGTTAAACACGGATTCAAGAATATCTAAATCGGTAAAAGAATTGTGCAAAAGAATCACTTTATGGTTTTTGTTTGCTGATAGAGATTGTTTTTGGTTCATTATTTCCTGTACGTGGCTTAATTGTTTTGAATATCTATCTAAACACTCATCTTCTAAGAGCTCGTAAAACAAAACACCTTCAGAATTCCACCAAATGCAAAGCTTAACTTTAGTTTTAGAATCCTTATTGTAGCCTGACGATGTTGATTGTCTTTCAAAATCATCGTAAGATATCCACTCTTCACTTCCAACCACAAGTTGATTCAAAAACGACTTGCACCTTTCTCTTGAAAGCAGTGACAAGGAAACTAAATAACGATATGGAACAATATATGAAGAGAATTTCTTTTTTTCTACTCCATCTTCTTTTAGTTTGTTTATGACTTTTGCATGATACCGATTTTCGTTATCTGTTCCAGATTGACTTTCAGGTTGTTTTTCTGAAACTTCCTGCAATTCATCTTCAGACTGGTCTGAAAGTGTATTGGTTGAGTGTCCATATTCATATGTAAATAAGGTTCCCATATTTATTTCAGAATACCAATGTTCAACTTTCTCAAGGGATGGAATACACTGTTCTTGATAAATGTTCAAATTAATAATATAATCGTGTGCCTCAACATGTGTTTTCTTTAGATCATAATAGTAAAGTATTACGTGTTTAAAATATAGTTCTTCGCGCATAAGCATTTTTAAGCAATATCTATATGAAAATAAAATATTATTAATTAATTTTATTTTAGAAATATATAAAAGTTTTTATGGATGTAATAATAATATAAGCAACTTAACTTTATTTCTTTTAAAACTTTTTACACTGTTTGTCGCACTCAAAGTAGAATGGTATACGTGATTGACCTGTGACCAGTACGGAAATAAATAACGATGATGAACGGCACACAGATTGTCAAAAAAGAAACACAAATTCGAAGAGCGGTTTGAATTTAAAAGAGAGACAAACTGTACGTAGCGTAGTTTTCGAATTCTATATATCGTCTATAACTTGTTGCTTTTGCTGTATCATTTAGTGATGAGATTCACGATGCAGAGATTTTATACAATTATTAATTTTATACATAATTATTGTATCTTCAGGAATCACAACCGTTCACTTCAAACTGCTACATTTGACTGCCTGCTCCGAAAATCAAGCGAAGGCTTTTCACATTTGTCTGTTGATCAGTTACGGATCGTTTGTCCTTATTTTCTTACTGTAATCACAAATCAATCACGTGTAAATCTCTATCTCTCTGTGTTTTGACTTATTTTATTAAGAATAATTCTCAACTCTACGCTACATAATTTCACATAAATTTCTTGCTATAAATTATAAAGTAATTGTGAATATTATTTATGTGTGTGTGTACTCACACATTGTAATTATATAAATATTTTATAAATCTAAATATCTAAAATCTAAAACGTACAAAACTTATGTTATAAATATCTAAAACGTACAAAACTTATGTTGAATAAATCTTGCTATATCATATATTATATTATTGAAAACGTTAAAACAAACATATTAAACACTGTAAATAAGAAATTGTACCAAGAAAAAAATTTAATCATAAAAACTTTAATAAAAAACTTTTCATACAGAATTTTTAATGCTTTTGAATATTACTTACTTAGAAACTCCAGGTGTTATAAACTATATTTATTTAAATATGTAGAACACTCATCAGCGCTGTTTGAAAATAAGAAGAATAGAAGACGCCTATGTTAAAATTACAATTAATAATATAGCAAATCACATTTACAAGACAAATATTGAAAAGAGAAATTGTTTTGATATATACGTATATATGTGTATTCTTAAAAAAATAGAAAAAAACACAACATTATTGCAAAATGACAAACTTTAGACATTAGTTGTAAAATGTTGTTTTTCATACCAAAAATTAAAGAGTTATTTACAAAATTTAACATTTAAATAAGCATTTAACTCACTTGTTCTACTTATAAACAAAAGAAGAACATACTTGCATAATAATGTTCTAAAAGAAGTATACTCTTATAAATCAAACATATAACTTCTGAAAACTAGATGTTATAAGTTTTTTTTAATATTAAAGCCATTGCACTGTGATAAAAATTTAGTCGCAATCGTAAAGTCGTAAGCAAACCAACCAATCACAGATTCGTGTTCTAGCAAGTATAAGGTAAAACTGGTCTGTGATTGATTGAATTATATCCTACGACCTTACGGTTAAAACTTTTTTTTTTTTCTTGGGTATTTTACGTGCCTTCAGCTAATCTAGGCTATTAAGACACATCTATGTCGAAGTCAATTGAATTTTTTATACTTTTTCATGGGAAGGTTGTACAGTACACTACTACCACGCGATACACGGCCTTTTTTCACAGTGGATATCTATCTGTGTCGGGCTCATGTTCAAGATGTTGTGACTGTCAAGGGGAGACTACGACGTTGTACCAATCGATTTGGACGAAATTTATAGGATCGATAGATAACTATGTGGAGTATTGTAGGGCAAAGTAATAAGATGCACTACTCAAGCATTCGCGAGAAAATCGAATTTGAAAATTTCGAGATACCTTATGAGGATATGAAATAAGCCGTTTAATCGAAAAGCGCGTAGTGTAGCGGTAGCGGTAGCGTACTAGGTTAGTAGTGTCGACGCTGCTGGTTCGAGTCTCGATATATACATATATATATATATATATTTTTTTTTAAATTCTATAATATATATATAATCTAAATGTAAATAATACGTTTTTTATTTATTTATTGCATGTTATAAAAGTGTATTTTTTTGCATAAAAAATCCGTGATTTAAAAAATACAGTAAAAATAAATAGATTATTACGAATTGTGTTTTTAAAAAGCGAATAAATAATTGTACGCAACATGTAAAAATATATGCACCATATTTTTTTTTTTTTTTTTTTTATTAGTAAGTATATATATTGCCAGAGGACTCTTGTCCTATTAGGGTTACAATTCTTTAACGAAATCAAGTGTTTTCTTTTAGGCTTAGTCACAGTATTCCAATATCAATATCAAGGAGAAGTATGTATAGGGTACTACCTCCGTAGAGTCAACCTTCGAAGTCAAATTGTGCAGTTCTTTTTTGTTTTTACTACCACGCGATACACGGCCTTCTTTCACAGTGGGCGTGCCCATCTGTGTCGGGCTCGTGCTCGGGATGTTGTGACTACGATCGCCTTGTGGGAGGGAGAATATATGCACCATATCTTATTTATTTGAACTAGATGGGACAATACATAATGCAAGATGATATTTGTCATAAAAACAAGTGAAACAATAATTTTCACGACAGTGTGCACATCGTACGAACGCTGCAGTTTTTTACATTGACATGGTTTCTTTAAAATATCTATTGAAAAACATACTTCGTTGACATGCATGAATATCTCTCTCTCGTTTGTTAATTTGGAAGCAAACCATGCATATTGCAACATATTTCGAAAACTCGGGGCGGATAATTGATGATGTATGATTGAATAAATTTTTATGCAATCTTCACGAGATCTCCTGTATCCCTTATTGTATGTACTTTAATCGTAGAAAAGGATTTGTCGATCCATACAGCCAAAAAAAAACTTAGTGTGCGCGAAAAATTCAGTTAAATCATTCTCTTTTTATACAATACATATGTTACATCACATATTTATCATATCTGCTTATAATAGTGCATACTTTTGTCTATACTTAAAGACAAAACTATTTTTCTCAAAAATATTTATTAATATTAGAAAGGTCTTAAATTTAAGTTTTGGATTAACCGGAGCAACATTTCAAATTAAAATATGTTTCCGCTCTTGTGCACTTTTATACAATATATATTAAATATACACATGTACATATTCAGTTGGTTCCAAAAAAAAACATTATGTTTCCAATATTTCAATCTTATACTCAATAAATGATCTACAATATTATATCATTTATATATATGTAAAACATTCTAATATTACATTGTGTGTATGTTGGATTATGATATATAATTTCATTAAATGTATATTGCGAGGAATTATCTGAAGAAAAAGGATTTTTTTCGATTATGATTCTGTACGATTTCCATTTGCATATAAGTAATTTCATGATATTGTAAAACAATAAAAAAAAACTTATGCACATACAGATGATCAACAGCCGAATTTTGTGTCTTGTAAATTCTGAAGTAGTCGGATTTAGCGCTTCGATGCGAGAAGTCGTTTTATTTGTTAGTTATCGCAACAGCTACAATACTCAGCGATATTAGTCACATGGCTCGAAAGAGTTGACAATTACTTAATTAAATAGCAGCAGTAAATAATTCGTAGTTAATTATCTAGAATTGATTCGAACTAAAGCTATTTTGTCTTTTATCAGAATATCTTGGAAATTTTTTTCAGCTCCTGTTTTACAGAAATGAAATTAGTTCTCGTGTGTCTTGTTTTGTTGTTGGCCGTTTTAATAAGTACGTGACAGTTGTTTGGCGCGATTAGTGAAAATTAATCGCAACAATTATAAATAATATTTACTATCAGTTGAGAACAAAAGCTCGTCGTTGTTACTGTGAGTGATACAGAAACTTGCAAAATAATAGACACTTAGATATACTTTGAGCGGAAGATGCCGCAAGAAGTTCGGAGCAAAATATTGCGGTTGATGTGGCGTATGGAAATCAGTGTTGCAAGCAAGTGTTGAATTGCTTGTGTCGATCGCAAGTGTTGAATCGATTGCCCCAATGTCAATTAACCGGAGTTAATCGATAAGAAACGTTTGGTAACACATAAAATGTTTTCTAATGTTTTACTAAAGAAAGCAGAATTGATCTAACTATAAAACATTATCAGTACATAAACCGAAGTAACATATCCGTTTTAATGCCAGAGGTCATTTTAAAAACCGTCTCGAAAAATGTTACGACGCAATAGCGCTTGTATAGTAAGTGCCGTTGCACTTTTCGACACGGAATCTGAACAGTGCGATCGAGCTGCGTGCACTAAAACGGTTAAATTAGTAAGTAATATATTGATATTAACTTTTAAAATACTGTAGGCGGATATATTCGATAAATACTTAACATTAATTTGTAGCTACGACAAGACAGATTAGAAGGTCGATTGCCATTGGATCTCTTTGTCTTTTTTTTTAGTGCAATCGTGAATATATTAGATTATTACTTCAATTTTTGGCTGAGAATGATCAAAATAAATTGATCAAAACGTTCCAAACTAAATGTAATGTTTTTTACCTTCAGATTTTTCATGTGTAGCAGTGATTGATTTTAGCTCTCTAAGTTTATTTTAATACAATGTTTATAATATCAAAGTTTATTTTACTAAAAAATAGATTAAAAAACCTATTGTTAATATATTCTCACTTTATGTCTCACAATAAATATAGCACTTTGATGAACAAAAGTAACATTTGAATAGTATGGCCCTGTCTGTTGTTAATGTGCTACTTTGACATACTCTAGGAAAAGAGATTGCATCTAATAATGGCCTAAAGTCCTTTATATCAGAATGAAAGCAAGGATTACGGCATATACAGCAATATTTGACATTTTCTAAGTATCTGGCGAAGCTAGATGGTAAGTGACTGTGTGGTAACCTGCAAAACAATAAATTTATTCTCATTTTATAAATGTTAAATTAGTAATTGTATGTGTACAAAAAAACAGTAAACAAATAAAATATATAATACCTGTATTTTTTCACTGCTTTAGCTGCTAGATCCAAAAGGCTCGCCACTTTTAGAGTAGGTGATCTATACTCATCGAGTTGGTTTCTAAAAGGATTGTTTGTAGTATCTAAATAGTCCAATTCCATTCCTCTCATACTCCCTGGTAAATATAACAGAAGGTTTGTCGACAAATCCAATTTTGCTAAATGTTGCAAAGTTCCAATAATTTGCGGCACTTTTGTTAACAAATTTTGGGAAACGTTTAAGCATATTAAACTCTGTAGTTTTCCAATTTGCAGTGGCAATTCAGTGAACTAAGTGACAATAATGAATAAAAATAAATATTGAATTATTAATCACTATAAAGTAAAGTAATCACTATAAAATAAAAAACAATAAAATTTGTGTTTTACATGAAAATTTACTAGTTGTATGTGCCATCGTATAGTTATAATGTAACACAACTTACATTATTGTTACTTATGTCTAATTCTTTCAGGCTCTGCGAAATAGCAGTTTGCTCCATCCATTCCCATTTACCGATCTCTAAACATGTGTTTCCAAGACAATTGTGTGATAAAAGAAGCTTTTCAAGATGAGGCAAAGTACCTAACTCCTTTGGCAGAAACGAAATCTGATTGTTTGATAAGTTAAGAACTCTTAGACTATATAAATTAAGAATAATTTGTGGATCAAGTTCTGTTATGTTCAATTTGCGTAAGATAAGTTCTTTTGTTGTTCTTGGATAACCTTCTTCTGGTGGATATTTTCTTTTTCTTCCCACAATTGTTGTATTTCTTAATGTAAAATTAGATTTCATACATGAAAGTTTGTAAAATGAATACCACCATCCAACAGACATCATACACACAAGTTTAGTAAATTTATCAAGAGAGGCATCATCAGTACTTTGAATTACAAGTTTGTGAGGTGGATTTATAAAACATATTGTAACATTATTAATACGCCTTTTGTTTGAACTTGAATAATAACGTAAATGTATATTTTCTAGGTTTTTTCTACTGTGAAAAAGATCTCTTGTTCTGATCTAAAAAAGAAACTTGCTCATTTAATTTGATAAATAAGTAGAAACGATTTTGAAAATAATATTTGAAAGGAAAAAACCACAAACATGGTAAATTATGTTTTAGAATTGTTTAATAATTATGTATTGGGTGAGTGTATAAATTTGTGTTTAATTTATCATTAGATTTAATGATAAATCAGACATAAACTTTGTACTCACCTAATATATCAAAATTATATTATCTAGATTTTGAAAAGATTGAGAAAAAAGAGAGAAAAAGAGAATGTACATAATTTATAATCTATACATATACATTACCAAATATTTGACTTGATTCTTTTTTTCTGTTTTCCAAAGTAAATATGCTTCTATCTTATAAGAGTCTACCTTTTTCTCAAGTGACAGTATAGAACGTTGCAATTTTGTTGAATAACATAACTCCTTCTCGTGTAATTGAACAGTGCAATTTATTTTCATATTATATTATCTTTCTGGCTTGTGTGTATCAAAAGAAGAGTGTGAGTGTGATTATTTCCGACGTCAAATATGTAAAATGCAATGATTTATCACTTATGTGTATATATTTGTAAAACAAACACCTGTTTGTCAATATATCAAAACAAAGTGAAATACAGAGATGTGTGATAAAAATTTAGCGTTCATTAAATGTGTTTTTGATCTATTTACACACTTTATCTTCTCTAGGCAATTTACATGTGTACTCCACTGCCTAACCTATGTTTTGAACTTAAATATATTGATTATGTTTTATCTTGTTCCTTTTTTCTTGCTTGATCATATATATATTATTTATTGATATTGTATATTATTTATTGCTTACTTTTTGGCAAACCACGCTTGAACACGCTAAATGAACTCTCAAGAAATCTCTAAATCCACGTGTGTCCACATGTAATCCAAAATAATTTACGTCCATAGACCTAAGGCGTCGTCTACAATAAGAATTTAAGGCGTCAAACTTAAGCTTTAAGAAGGTACAAGGCTCGTTTCCACTATCCTACGATTAAGGGTGCTTTCCAACTACGTACACAGGCGACACTGTGTAACACTGTGTCCACTAGTGCGAATGAAACACACTAATATGCTCTTTCTCACACTAATGGACACTGTGTTACACAGTGTCGTCTGTGTACGTAGTTAGAAAGAACCCTAACGTACCGACTACTCACGAGATCGGTCATTTTAAATTTCAAAAAAAAAATAAAATTCACGCTCTCGAATATACTCACACACTTAAAGAAAGTGACCATTTAAACTCGTGCACATAGCACAGAATAGAACCGCACGCTGTGGACATAGCGCACCGACATGTCGCTCGTGGTAATGGCTACGTAGTTGCCAATGTGCATCACTTATAGACATAGCGCTGGTTTACAGAGCGGAAAAGCTCTATTACAATTTTTCATATAACCCTGGGTGTCAATTTCGTATCACGCAGTGTAGTGAACATTACAAAAGTAAGCGAATTTATTAAAATATTTATGATCTTATTAGTCAACAACTAGTAAATTTGTTCACTTTTGTCATTTTCACTACATTGCATGGATACAGAAGCGATCTCCTGGCTGTTTTCAATTTGCTTTGCTTTATAGGAAACATTTCAGCTTTTGATAATGCAGAAATATAACACACTCGCACAGTGTTCTTACCATCGGTTAAGCGTTCGATAGTTCCTACTTTACTTACAAGAGATGCACAAGACAAAATGTATACAGCTTGTATAAATATTTAAGAAGAATAATGTAGAATAATGTAAATTATATTTTAGTATACATTGCTGATTTAGTACACATTTATTTTATTCAGAATCAAGACTAAAATTGTATAAAAATTTTTATAAAAAATATTCTCCAATAATTGAAATTTGTCAAGTTTGCCAGTAAAATTAATCGATGGCGTAAGTGTCAATGTTGTTATATATTTTGCTAAATCTTTCTGCGTTGTAGGTTCGGTCCGATAAAGCAATTTAAGAAAAATTTGGAAAATTTGAAAATTGTTACATCAAAATCAATGTCACGTGATAGTACGACTGATTGTTTTATATGTTCGCCGACCGCACGTCTAATAGTGTAAAAGTATTTGTGAAAATAATTGCGCTATTGTTATGAAACTCGTCTCTTAAGACAATATTTCAACGGTGGTGTAAAGATACTTTCGTAATTCTCGGTTGAATCCCTAATGGATAAACTCCTTGAGTTTGCATATGCCGATCGATCCGTCTTCAGTCATGCATCTATTCGCGTTAAAATCGTGGGAGCGAATAATGCGCAGTTGACTGTTGCTCGACATTTAAGACAAATCTCTTGTCGTTTTGTGCAATTAACGTTTTCAAAACTGATTTGCAAAGTGTGTAGCAAACCAGTTAAAACAATTGCGTATAAAGCACATTTCTAATCTCAGACATTTTCAATTGTTAGATTATATAAAGAAAAGAGATTAACATCAGTCGATAATATATTGTAAGATATCGATTTTAATTTACCCTGTAATATACAGGGTGTCGCAACAGAATGTTCTAAGTTTGATTACGTTTTCTTGAAATTAATTGAGTAAAAAATTCTAATCATAAATTCGAATTGTCACGGTTTTTCATAAATTAAAATCATCAATTAAAATGAAATTCAAAATTATTTTATTGTGTTAGTATTTGTATTTTAATTACAACTTTGTGCGCGCATTTTTCTCAAAACGTAGTAAACTATACTTTTAAGACAAGATTACGTACGTTCATAAACACTCATTCCCACTCTGTTGAGAAATTTGTTACAATTTCAACTCATGATTTGGACTTTTTTAAATCAGAATAATTCCAGAGACACGTAGTCAAATTATAAAAATCCTATTGCAAAATATTTATATGATAATATATATGATTATATTTTGTAAATATACAAATTATTTGTATGAAGCAAGAAATGTTGGTTACTTCTCTCTTTTTATAATAAGATTTTTGTTCTCTTCGAGATTTTGCGATTTATTATTTAGATTGATTATTTCTGTAACATATGTGTGTGTGATACAACCTTTAAAATATATATAAATTTATATATATATATATATATATATATATATACATACATATATATATGTACATATAGTCTACTATATTTATTGAACTTTTATAAAATATAAATTATAAAAAAGCACAATTTTTTACATTTTGACTCTGTCAATAACTTATTCGACGAGTAAATCAATTAAAAAATAAAATCTGTAGCAGTATAGGAGAATGGTCAATGAACAAATTGTGTATGTAGAATACACACTAATAAAATATACACTAAAATATAAAATACTTTTGTCACGCAATATAATTGACCGATAGTTACGTTTTATTCACTTCAAACTTTATAATTAACACATACAATCGAGCAGTAGCAACTTGTCGATTATCCATGGTCACTGTCAGACATACGCCAACGCGAGATTTAGATAGAAAGATTGTAGGTCGTCTAGATGTGATTGAAGAAGACATCGTCGATGTGAAGATTGTGAAGGTGTGTGGTTTCTTGCGTGGCGGATTCCGCCGATACTTGGCTCCGTGACGTTCCTCCGGGAAGTTTCGGTCTCGCGACGAAGGGTAATAGTGGCGTAGGGTGCATATCGAAGAGAAGATGAGAATGAACGAAGGAAAGGAAGCTGGGAAGGGTAAGATAGAATAGATGAAGAGACGCGACAATGAAGGATAGAGAAAGAGGGGAAGGATAGGAGAATGAGAGGGAGGAGGCGAGGGCGCACTCTCGGTCAGAAGCGCAGAAAAGAGCGATCGGGGAGGTTACGGGGTAGTGGATGTGGATGTGATAGTACTGTGTACGTGTTTCTCGTCGAGGGACAAGAGGAACAGAGAGAACGGAGGGAGGAACAAATGAGGGGAAGTCTAGAGGGATGAAAAGAGATAGTCGGCGAGAAACGGAGGAGTCTCAGACAGATCGAGAGAGAATACGAGGCGAAGTAAGAGAAGGATGTCTATAACGTGTAAGGGAGATAGGTGTGTGATCGAAGAACAGCGTGAACGAGAAATAAGATAGTGAGATAGAAGAGAAGCGGAGAAAACGCCAAGAGAGAGAACGATTCTACAAAAGAATGAAAGACGAAGAAATCGAAGAGAGAGACTTGTTCGGAGAAGCAAAAGAACGTACGAAGAACACATACATCCAGAACACACATACAAAGAAAGAGAAAGAGAAATATATATGTTCGGAGTAGGATATGATAAAGAAGAACACGGATCGAGTTTGCTGCAAGGAGAAAGAGAAAGAGAGAGAGTGCGCGCGCGCGCGCGTGTGTGTGTATGTATGTGTGTTAAAGGGAGATAGAAAAGAAGGAAATGAAGTGCGACAGATAGATAGATAGATAAATAGATAGATAGATAGAAAGAGAGAGAGAGAGAGAGAGAGAAAGAGAGTGCGCGCATGCGTGTGTGTGTGTATGTATGTGTGTGTTAAAGGGAGATAGAAAAGAAGGGAATGAAGTGCGACAGATAGATAGATAGATAGATAGAGAGAGAGAGAGAAAGAGAGAGAGAGAGAGAGAGAGAGAGAGAGTGCGCGCGCGCGCGTGTGTGTGTATGTGTGTGTTAAAGGGAGATAGAAAAGAAGAGAATGAAGTGCGACAGATAGAAAGAGAGAGAGAGAGAGAGAGAGAGA